GAGGGGAGGGGGTGGGGGGATGGGTTAGCCCGGTGATGGGTATTAAGGAGGGCACGTACTGCATGGAGCACTGGGTGTTATACGAAAACAACGAATCGTGGATCACTACATCAAAAACGAATGATGTATGGTGACCAACATAATAAAATAAAATGTAAAAAAAAAAAATAACTGCAGCTTTCTTAAGGGCCCCGGGATATAATGATAACGACATAACAAATAATAAGTCTTTAATTTCTACCTTAGGACATAGCTACACAGTAAAATGTGGGCTTGTTGTCTCCGATTTTTCCGAGTATGAAACTGAAGCTTGGGAAGGTTAGGTGAGTTCCCAGGGTCACAGCACTAGTAAGTAGCGGAGTCAGGAGCCAAGCTCTAGCCCCATGCCCTGTGCCCTGACCCACTGCGGGCCGGCGTTAGCCAGCTGAGGTCCCAGCGCCCGGGCCACATGCGGGCGCAGCGGCCCCAGGCTCGAGCGACCCCAGCTGACGAGGTTGAGATTCGCGCGCCCGCGGTCTGGAATGGGGTCTCTGCCCCTCCCCGGGGCGGTGGTCCAGTGACGTCACTGCCTCTTTAAGACCCCCCGCCTCCGCCCCCGTCCGCACACTCTGCGGTTCCTACGAATCCCTGTGGGTTTCTTCGCAGGTGAGCCGGGGGAAATGCCAGTGTTGGAGGGGAAGAGGCGGACTCCTCGAGGAGTGGGGTGCAGGGGGCGTGGCGGCGTGGGTGGGGGTGCGTGTAGAGAACTTGGACTTACCTGGGTGGGGGGGCCACCGGGGCACAGCCCCTGGAAGGGGGTCTGCACCGAAGCCGCGGTGAGCTGATCAGGTCCTTCTGCAGCCACGGAAGGGTTAAACGCCCCTCCCCCTCCCCCGGGACAAAGGCACCGAAACCCGGGCGCCCCTCCCCCACCTGCGCTGCTCTCTGGGGCGGGGCTCCCCTCCCCCTCACCTACCGGAGCGGACCCTGCTGATAACCGCCGCCATTAAGCCCTTCCCGCAGCGCGGCTCACAGGCCGGGGGTCTGCGGACCCTTCTTCGGGCTGGACTCAGAAGGGAAATAGGGATCGAAAGCAGGAGGGGGCGCCCTCGGACCAAGGCGGCCCCGTAGTGTGCGGAAAGAGAAGTGGTCGAGGGCAGGGGTAGGGTCTTGGAGGGGAGAGGTGCTGGGTGCACTGGCCGGCGCTAACACCGCCAGAGGCGTGGAGGGCCGACACTGGGGTTGGGATGAGCGCGGTCTGGGCCGCCCCGTCCGATCTCCCCCGAGGTCTTTAGCTCCGCCAGGTATGGGCGGGATGCAAATGAGGAGTGCACGGTCTGTCCTCTGGCCACACTGCTGGGGCCGGTGCTAAATTCAGGTCCAGATCGTGTGCGGGAACTTTGGGTAATGGAGAGCCCCAACAGGACCCCGAACAGAACTGACCCCCGAATTGAGCCACAACACTAAGTGGGATGTGAAGGGAGACAAGTGAGGGGCCGGAGCTGCTGCCAAGGGGCCGGTTCACTGGACACACTCCAAGGGTTTAGGTCCTTTTAGGGGAATTGAGTCCTGAGAGGTTGGCGTTTTGAGCAAGAAGGCACAAGAAAATGTCCCCAACCTTGGAGGTATGTTCAGTGTGACCCTAAGGGAGGGCAGAAGAGCAGGACCCAGTGGGGCAGCAGGTAGCCATGAGGAAGAAGTGCTTTTGGGTGAGAGGGTGGTATTTTTTTTTTTCTTCTTCTTCTTCATTTCTCCTGCCCCTCTGGAGTTTGCTGCTGGGCTGGGCCAAGTAGGGCCAGGCAAGGCCAGAGATGAAGGATCACCTGAGACACATGTCATTACCCTCCTGGGGGGATGGAACCAGGTTGGGGTGAGGGGTTTGGACACAGCTATTGGGTGGTGGGAGGAAGCTGGGATCTCTAATCTTGATTTTGAAACTGACAGGTTTTGAGCTTGAAACTCATGGCTAGAGCCAACCCACCATCTGTGTGCCCCAAGGAGGCCATCTGGAAATTGCCCTCTCTTTTGTTTTGTTTTGTTTTTGCTACTTTGCTGTCTGATAAAATGTATGCAAAGTGGCTGGGCCGGTAGACTAGCCTCAGTATAGGCTTCATGTCTCATTTGCACTCAAAGCAGCCAGGACTGGGTCACTTACTTACTCGCTCTTGTTAGTCAAGACAATCACATAACCAAGGAAAAAATTACATGCTCAAACATCAAGTGTTCGTTTTGCCCATGAGAAAATGAGGCTTGGGAAGAGTGCCCTGCCCATGGTGTACTGACTTCCTGGGTTCATACTCTCGCTGCCCTGTGTGGTGGCCACAGCTCATTGGGAACAAAGGGTCTGGACCAGCCTGTCTTCACATTAGTCTGCTTCTGTCCCCCAGTGCAGCTCCTCTCAACCTCAACTTTGCCATGGCTTCCGCTGGTCTGCAAATCCTGGGGATCATCCTGACACTGCTTGGCTGGGTGAATGCTCTGGTGTCCTGTGCCCTGCCCCTGTGGAAGGTGACCGCCTTCATCGGCAACAGCATCGTGGTGGCCCAGGTGGTGTGGGAGGGGCTGTGGATGTCCTGCGTGGTGCAGAGCACAGGCCAGATGCAGTGCAAGGTGTACGACTCCCTTCTGGCACTGCCCCAGGACCTGCAGGCCGCCCGCGCCCTCTGCGTCATCTCCCTCCTCTTGGCCCTGCTCGGGCTGCTGGTCTACCTCGCGGGAGCCAAGTGCACCACCTGCGTGGAGGACAAGGACTCCAAAGCCCGTCTGGTGCTAGTCTCTGGGATCATCTTTGTCATCTCAGGGGTCCTGATCCTCATCCCTGTCTGCTGGACGGCTCACACCATCATCCGGGACTTCTACAACCCCCTGGTGTCGGACGCCCAAAAGCGGGAGCTGGGGGCCTCCCTCTACTTGGGCTGGGCGGCCTCTGGTCTTTTGTTGCTGGGCGGGGGGCTGCTGTGCTGTACCTGCCCCTCTGGGGGGTCCCGGGGCTCGAACCATTATATGGCCCGATACTCGGCATCGGCCGCACATGCCACCTCTCAGGGGGTCCCTGAGTACCCCACTAAGAATTATGTCTAAATCTGGTAGGGGAGTGGAGACTCCCTCGACAGTGGAGCCTAACCCCCTGAGCTGGAGACATGGAGATGGTAATCCAGACAGCTTGGGGGCTGTTTTTATCTTTTTTGCTTTTGGGGGGAGGGGAATTTTTAAAGTTCATTTGAAAACCTAACCAAGGAACCCAAGTCTCTCTTGGGCTCAGCTGTTGGTATTTCTCACCTCTGGATGATGGAGCCAAGGAGGTGATGCTTCACAAATTCTAGATCTTTCTCCACCCTGGACATCCCCATCTTGGAGGCCAACCTGGAGCTGTGGGCCAACATAAGGCTGCCTGCTGTTGAGGTGCTTTCAGCCTGTCCCCGAGTCCCTCCTTACTGGTCAGGCCTCTGGAACCCCTGGGGGCTCTTGAGCCTCACGGATGATAAATCACCAAAGAACTGGCCGCCTCCAAGTCTTCTGACCTCTGGCTCCTCTATCTTGAGTCCCGAGTCCTGTCCTGGATGTGCTGTAGACCCCCCTCCCCCACCCCGATCCTCTCACCTTCAACCCCTGCACACTTCTGCCACGCCTCCCCCCATACACACTCACCAGTTTTTGCTAAATAAAGCATGTCTTATGAAGAGCCAAGGTACAAATTCTCTGTTTATTCCCAACTAGTAGGTGGGCATAGAAGGTTGGGTGATAGACTGGGCCTCCTGGCCTGGACCTCTAGATGCAGGTGGTGGCCAGACTGGAGAGGACCCACCGCAGGCAGGCGTCCCCTCCTTATTTTGGAGCCAAGGACCTGCTGCCCTTTGGGTGAAGCCCCAGGCTCCTGGGACCGGGGTGGCCCCAGAGGAAGAGGACGGACAGCCTAAGTTGTGGACCACAGAAGGAAGCAATTTGTCCGGGGGAGGCAGGGGCAGACCAGCACACCCATCAGCTCTGGCTCTGCCTGGGTGGAGGTAGGGGAAGGGCTCATGGGGACCCCACTGAAGAGGTTCTGGACTCAGCTGGGGCAGCTGATACTAGGTCTAGCCAGGCCCGATTGGAGCGTCTGGAAAATGGGTTTTGCCCTGGGGGACGGGTTAGCAGTCGGGGGCAAGGGTCAGAGCAGGGCATCCTGCACAAGGTCAAGGCTCTGAGCCGCAGGCTTCCAGGGACACTTTCCACCTCATACGTAGTCCCTCTTGTCCAGCCCAGATGCACCTGAGCGGGAGGGGATGGAGTAACCCAGCCTCGGTCCTCGGGGCCGGTCGATCTGGGGTGGAGGGCATGTGCAGCAGAGGAGGCCCCCCCCCAGCATGAGCAGGGCAGCAGCGGCCCAGCCCAGGTAGAGGGAGGCCCCCAGCTCCCGCTTGAGGGCCTCGGCCACCAGAGGGTTGTAGAAGTCCTGGATGATCGCGTGCGCAGTCCAGCAGACGGGGATGAGCACCAGGATCCCCGAGAGGAGGAGGAGGACCCCCGCGGTGAGCATGATGCGGGCCTTGGCACCTTCGTCCTCCACGCAGGTGGTGCACTGGGCCCCAGTGATGGCCATCAGCAGCCCGAGCAGGGCCAAGAGGAGGGCGACGACGCAGAGGGCGCGGGCGGCCTGCAGGTCCTGGGGCAGTGCCAGAAGGGAGTCGTACACCTTGCACTGCATCTGGCCTGTGCTCTGCACCACGCAGGACATCCACAGCCCCTCCCACACCACCTGGGCCACCACGATGCTGTTGCCGATGAAGGCGGTCACCTTCCACAGGGGCAGGGCACAGGACACCAGGGTGCCCAGCCAGCCCAGCACAGCCAGGGTCATGCCCAGGAGTTCAAGGGCAGTTGAAGCCATCTGTCCCCTCAGGTCTTCTTAACCCTAGACGGCCTGGTTGACTCACAGGGGTGGGTCCGATGCTGCTGGGTGGGGGTCTCGGTGCCCAGCACAAGGGAAACACTGTGTCCTCGGCCAGGACTGTCCTCACATCTGTGGGCCTCTTGCAAAGCACCTCTCTTTGAGCCCCTCAAAGGCCTACCTCTGACCCCGACACGCACCAATCAATCTCACAGTCCTGCTCAGCGGAGTCGCGGTGTCCTCCCGAGGGCCCCGTTGGCTACCAGATGCCCAGTGGCTGCCTCTCCTGCCACCCTGCAGTCACGTCCCGGCCGCTGCCCCTCCTGACCCACCTTCAGCTGAGAAGAGCCTTGTGCCGCCGGAGGCCCAGGCTCACACGGAGCAGCGCACCCTCTGTGGGTGTCACCCGGGGACTCGGCCAGCTCCCAGATGCAGGCGGGGTTTTGAGGTGGAGGCGGGGGAGGGGCAGCAAAGCCAACTGGGGAAGCCAGAGCTACAGGGAGAAGGCGGGGCTGGGGGTGGGATGGGGAGCCTGGGAGGGGGTACCGCGACCGATCGGGGAAGGAAAGAACCTCCGTGCCTGTGGGAATGCAGGGACAAAGGAAAGGGGAGACTGAGGACCAGCTGGGGAGCGGGGACTGGGGGAGTGATGGAGCTCTGGTAGGCTCAGCAAAGAGAAGCAGAGGTTGGAGGTTAAGTTGCCTCTCTGAGCGGCCGCCTCCTCCCCCAGCAACTCCCCCCTGTAAGCTTTTCCTTTCCTGTTGCAAACACACCCAGATCCCCCAGTATCGCACACCCCAACCCCGCTCATGTCCCCCTGCCTGCCCCAGGAACCCGATCTGTCTCCAGTCTCAGCCCAGTGGCCCTGGCTGCTCTCAAGGGAGGGGCCCCACCCTTACCGTTCCCCAGGCGACAGGTGCCTGGCGCCCAGCTCAGGTGGCATCACCCAGGCAACGGCCTAAAAAGTTCCCTCCACACACACTTCTTCCTCGGCTCAGGTGTGCCCTTCCCAGGCCCGATACTGAAACTGAGGGCCGAGCTGAGCTGCCGCAGGTCTCTAGGGCCCAAGGGGTAAAGAGTCTGTTGTGGAAGTAGGGGAGGGGCACACAGGGGTCTGTGGGCAAAGGGGGAAGAGTAGCAGAGACAGAAGCCCTGGATGGGGGTGAAGCCTCAGGACCCAAGTCTTTTCCATGAGGAGTAAGTGATCACTCTGGAGGAGACCCCATGGAGGAGGGCAAGAGGATGAAGCCCAGGTGAACCCTTCCTCACAGTCCTCAGGAAAGACCCTCCTGCTCCTGAAGACCCCCTTGGAGCCTGTGACTCCCCTTGTGGGGGACAACCTGGGACTCACAGACTATAACCCAAATCCTGCCACCAACTAGGGACAGATTATGGGAGGTCAAGGTCCTTAACCTCCTTAGGTCAAAGACCCCTGTGAGAAACCTTATGGGACCCACAAACATGGGCCCCTCATCTTGGGGGTCATGAACTCCCTCAAGCCCCTTCCTGGGTGCTAGGAACTGAGGGAAAAGGAACGGGGGTGGGGAACGCTGATGAAAATTCCTTCCTTTCATACACTTTCCTGGGTGGCTGGCGGACCCTCTAAGGCAGAGCTGGGCCCCCATCTGTAAGAGCCTCTCACTTCCACACCTCCTGAGGATGGCCCACGGCCTGTCTGCCCTATGAGGAGGCACCCCTTGATGGCCTGGGAGCTAACAGGGCCACTGGGGGCAGGCCTCGGAGCTGCCACCCCCCCACCCCCGCACACATGGTCACTCACTGCACCTCTCTAGGGCCCTGGGAGTGGTGTGCACTGGGCGTCTCTTCGCCCGTTCAGTGGGGCTTAGTCTATAAAGGATTTTAACTTCAGGTGGGTGCACTGCTTCTGGGAATGGGTTTTAGCACTTTGGGGAAGAGAGGTTTATACTTTCATCAAATTTGCAAAAGGGTCAGTGACCAAAAGAAGCTTGAGAGAACTGCTAAAATGGAGACTGAGGCCAGCACCCATGAGTGGGGCTGTAGGGTAGAGTGCAGTGGCCCGGTGGACATGGCGGGGAGTGGGAAGGGGCCAGAGCCGGCCGTGGCTGGGCCAGCTGGCTGTGATGGGCCTGGGGAATCTCCGGGAAGTTTGTCCAGCTCATCCAGCCCCTGGGGCCCTAGATTTCATGGTTGGGAGGGGCGGCTGAGGAGAAGGACAAATAGAGGCAAGCCTCGGGGCCTGGAGGAATCCAGACACACAGGTTGAAGCAGTTGTCAGGAGGCAGCAGGGAGCCCGGGTCTGGGGCTCTGCGAGGGGCCCAGCAACCCTCCCAAGGGGCCTCCCATCCTGGGCAGCCCAGCCCGGGGTCTTTTCTCTCTCTAGGCTCAGAGAAAGCCCTGGGCTTAATGAGACCAACTCATCCTGATTTGCCCAGAGAGCTGGTCAGCCTGCAGTCGGGCCTGGCACCAAGGACCCCTCAGTTCCACAGATAGGTCCAAACCTCCAGCGTTGTGACAGGACCAGTGGGGTGCCGCGGAGGACCCTCATTGTTTTAGATCCCAATCCCTCTTGGGCTCAACATGTCAACACTCAAGCAGAGAAGACCTGCACACTGCCAGGGGTTGGCTGGCCACGTGGGAGGTGGTGCTCAGAGGCTGAAGACACCGCCCTTTCACCCCCAGACCAATCCGTACCAGAACTGTCTTGGCGGGGGGCAGCTTCGGCTTCCTCCCACCTGTCTACTCTTTTCCCTCTTTATAAGACAAGGCACCCCCCCACCCAAGGCCTTCAGGGAGGGTGAAAGTGGGGCAGGCTGTGCGAGAACAAGGGGAGGTTGAGAGGTCACCAGGGCTGGTCAGACAAATCGCCAGTAGGAGGGGTAAGCAGCGAGGGCGGATTCCCGGGGCACCCAGGCAGGACAGCCTTCCCACCCTCAGCCCTCAGGCCCTCTCTTCGGTCCCCTGGTCCACCTGGACTCAGTGGGATCTGGGAACCAAAGGGTTAAAGTTGGGGCCCAGCGGGGACTGTAAATGGGGCTGGAATGCCATTGATATGGAGAGGTGGGGACTCCCTCGGCGTGGTTACCACCTCAATGGCACTTTAACACGTCCTCTGGAATCCCCACCCCCGCCACCTCCGCCCAGGAAAGAGGTGGGGGAGGGAAACCTGCCCCAAGACACTACTGTGGAGGGAAACTGAGGCACGGGAAGGGAGGGCAGCCTCGCCCCGCTCACTGCTTCAGGGGGTGGCAGAACTGGACCTGAACTTTGTTCTCTGGGAGGGCAGTGGGGTGGGGCCACTCCACCGGGACTGGGCTTAGATGGGGGAAGGGCAGAAGAGGGTTAACTCCAAACCCAACATCTACCACACTTTTCGAGAAAAGTGTGGCCCAAAGACAAAGGAGGGGAACTGAAGGTCCGAGAGCCACCATGGTGCCAAGAAGAGTATGGGGTGGGCTTGGGGACGGCACAACACCAAGGGAGCATCAGCCTCTGCTTTGGGGAGGTGCCCAAGGCCCCAGACTTTATGGGTAGAAAAGCCAGATCCTCTGGCCCCTGAAACAAAAGGTGCAGATGAAACCCTGGGGTCCCATGACAGCTGTCTACCCCCATTTTACAGACAAGGAAACAAGCTCCAAGAGCAATGGGAACTTGGCCACGGGTCCTTGGGAGAAACAGGATAAGCCTGAAGGAGCCCCAGACCCTGACTTCAAGGCCCAGCACCCAGAGCCCAGTGCTGGAGGGTGAGCTGGGGCTCCTGGTGCCTCTTTCCCCAAAGGCAGCCCGGGAGCCCCCCACAGGCCACCCCACCCACATCTTGCCCCATTCCTCTCCCACCCCCGCCTGCATTCCCTCCTTCCCCTGACTCTTCCAGGCACCCTGCACCCTGTGCTGGGAAGCCTCTGCAGGGAACTGCATCTGGACCTGATTACACCAGGAGCCACCCCACCTCTGCTGCACCTTCCCTGTGTCTGTGTCCCCCTGCTGTGGGCAGCCTAAGGGACGCTGGGTCAGACCTCTCTGGGCAAGTCACAAGCGCAGTAACCTCAGCTGCCTCCTGACTGTAAGAGGGAGGGAGAAGTCTGCCTTGTTTACCCCCAGGGTCACTACAAGAATTTGCCCAGGCGGGGAGCACCCCACGCACCTTGGGGATCACCCTAGGCACTGACTTGACACGAGAGTATCTTGTTAACGGCACCATGGCCGTTTCACTCGCAAACCTAGTCAGACTCCGTGGATCCGAGAGCAATTAACTTTATTATCTGTCGGAACTGTCAGCTTTCACCCGGCCGCAGTTATTCATCCGGGGTTCAGAGGGCGGGGTCGCCCCTCACCTCACTGCTGTGATCTTTAAGAGCATGCGTTCATCTTGTCCTTCCTGTCTGACTCTTAGCGGAGGAGCGAGGAGAGGAGAGCTGCAGGATGCAGAGGGGTGCAGGAAGCAAGCCGGCAGGAATGGGAACTCAGCCAGAATTCAAGAAAGGGGACAGGGAGTCATTAAAGTACTTGTGCCTTTGGCTCCTGCTAAAGGATGCAAGGGCACCCAAGGCTCCAGGTCAGTAAGAGGGAGGGTGTCAAACACAGTGGTCAGGAAAGCTGGGAAGACAGCTCTGGAGGTGGGCCAGCCCCTCTGCGGGGAGGACACTACCTGTAATGATTGCATGGTGGCCCCCAACACTGGCCAGGTCTTAAGCCCTGGAACCTGTGAGTGTGGCCTTATTTGAAACCAGGGTCTTTGGAGCTGTAATTAAGATAAATTAAAAACCTCAAGATGAGATCATTCTGGATTCAGGGTGGGCCCTACACCCAATGACAGCTGTCAAAAGAGAAAAACAGGAAGATTTGAGACACACAGGGTAAGGTTGTGTGAAGACGGAGGTGAGGCTGGAGGGACAAGGCTACAAGCCAAGGAACGCCAGGGGCCACCAGGAGCTCCAAGAGGCTAAGGAGGATCATCCCCAAGAGCCTTGGGAGGAGCACAGCCCTGAATGCCTTGATTTTGGACTTCTGGTCTCCAGAACCTTGAGAGAATAAATTCCTTTTATTTTAAACTGCCCAGTTGGTCGTGATTTGCTACAGCAGTCACAGGAAATTCGTATACTGCCTTTCTTGCTAGTGGGTCCCAGGCTCTCAGAGGTTGCCCAAGGTTAAGTTGGCTTCCTGATACCACTCTTGAGCTGTAGAAGAGCCCATTGAGATAGGACATCTGCCTGGTTACCTGAGCCCAAGCCACCTGAGTAACAAAGGGAACGTTTATTCTGGGTTGCACATGCTGGGGAGAGCCTGGCACGGTGGGGGTGGAGGCGAGGGCAAGCAAAGGTGAGGAGAGAATAGGGGCTTCCTTTCATGACTCACCTTGGGAGCTTTCCTGTCCCGGTGGGGACGACCTAGGCCTTGCATGTGATGCTGCGGCTCTAGGGCCCAGTATCGGCCATCCGTCAGCACCCCTGTTCTTCCGGGGCACCCATGCCTGCAGAACCCTTGGATCTATTTCAGTTCAAAGTCTGACTCAAGACTTGGAAGGCCGCATGTGGGTTTCTCAGAAGCCATACACACATAGTGGGGAAGGGCCTTGTGATGGCACCTAAAACCCTTCATTTTATAGGGGAAAATGAGACATTTTTCGGACCCAGTCAGAGCATTTCAAATCTTGTTTTCATTTCCTCAAGCCATGTGCAGTGGGCGCCCCCCCACCCCTGTCCCCACGGTTCTGATAAGCAGCCCACTTATCAGCACAGGGGTTGAGTTACGTTCTCAAATAACCAGGCAAGAGGCTTGCTGTAGGGCGGTAGGGGAAAATGGAATAAAGACCCTATTCTTCAAACAAATTTATTTTTAGACTTGCTGCTTCCACCCCAAAGCTGGGCGGCTCCCCTGACACTCCCTCCCTCTTGCCCAGTCTGGGCTCTGACCCACGCTTTCTGAATCGCCAGTGGGGAAGGCGGTGAGGGCGCCCAGCCCGGGTGTCCCAGGCGCGGCTGCCTACTCACCCGCCCCGCAGCCCCTCGGGGGCGACGGTCTCGGAGGGGCCGGGCCGTCAGCAAGGAGGCGACAGGAAGAGGTGCGGCGGCGGCGGCGGGGGGAAGG